AGCTCGAGCACATGGACAGCAGATCGGGAGCCCTTCAAATAAACCTCGAAACCAATAAAACTTAAACCCTTATCCGAAAGGCTCTCAAAAAAACCTAAGCCCCTAAACCCTAAATCTTGAACACATCATTATTCCTTCATTGCTTCTGTAGAGCCTGTGTAAGCTTGTCTTGTCGAACTTGTTTGCACATGCAACCCCAAATCCTGAAATTGTATACTCCCAAACCCTATGTACATACCGCCTCTGTCTAGGAACCCAAGCCCAAGCCTTAGTCTCTCGTTGACTGGGGACCCTTGGTCTAACTAACCATATACGATAGACATCGCTTAAATATAAAGACCTATACCCTGCACTAAAGTAACTGAAAGTTTCTAGGAAACCTTTCTAAAAATAGGTTCTAGCTGGTGGCTCCTACAGGGACTGAGCTCTCAATATGCACAAGAACAGCTCTGCACGCAACAACGAGGAACGAAGTGCAGGACATTGTAACCTATAGTAACTAAACCCTAATAAACTTAAACTGTGTCCAAGCCCCCAATCCTTTCGTGCTGAAATGTGCTCAGGAGTGACTTCAAGAACCTCAAGTCAGCTCTAGGCCCATCGGTGCGAGTCGCCGATTCCATGCAGTGCTTGATCTCTGACCTCGGATTCTGTTGCTGTCGCATTCAATAACCCCTGCTTGCAGATGCCATCCTGACCAGCTACAACCTGCTCTGCGGTGTGGAAACCAGTCCCGACGGAAAGAAGCCTCTCGAAAGCAAGAATCTAAGTCCTAAAGTTGTGTTTGTATTTCGTGGCTCCCATCCCCTGAAATCAGGCCTGCAAGCTACACCTCGCATTGCTCGATGCTTCAATCGCAGCCTCTTCTCTGATGACAGATTCTATTCATTGTTTTGTGACCTGAAGTGTGGCCTATATCTAAGGTGTCAAGCCTTCGACAATCATCTTCAAATTGTCAAGCTTCGTGTCTTAATGATATGTGCGATGCTGCGATGGTTCTGCAGAAACAGCATGTATTTGCACCGAGGACATATTTCAAACGACGAACGGCTGCAAAGAAAGCTGCCAAGCCCAAGGACGAGTGAACGAGCGGTTCCCTCACGGTGGTGCTTCTGTGATGGCTTAGATCCTGTGTGCTGTGAGTGTGCAGGGTGTATGCAGTGAAACTTGCAAGCTGCTTTGTATGCTGAGCGATACGTTCGAATCTAGATAATACACACAGCCAGGTCGGACTTGTACAGAGCTGTGCATTTGAAGTACGCTTTTAGCTCTGCTCCCGAATACTTCGAAAATCATTCCACATGTGTGACTTTAGAAGGATCTCTCTGTATACATGCACACTCGATCGTCGCACGGGTTGCTTGCACAGACTGTGCTGCCAGTTCGTCAAGGTGTGCTGCTGGGGAAAATCGTTGTCTGCATTCACTTCCGCGAGTGCAGATATGGCCTGTGTCTTCCATGCCTATATGTGTGCTTGCACGTACCGAGCCAGGTGGCCGCGACCTCGTCGATGAAGTCGTCACTTCTTTCATCGTACCTGGGTGTGTCGAGGATGCTTTCCTAATCGGATCAGGTTCAGAGTGTAGCCATATATGGAAGGGTATGCCTAGAAGAACCCTCTAGCACTTAATCACCATAAGCACTCCTAAACCCAAACCCCTGAAACCCTCAACCTCTACAAACCAATCGCCTAAAGATTGACTGCACGGATGTCGTTGATTTCAGGAGTTGAGAATATATCAGCTGAGGCGGGCAATGCAAGCAAAGCTGTGTCGATTGCGAATACAGCTACAAAGAGAACTGTGTCTGCTTGTTTGGAGAGCGAACAAGAAACTTGGGATTTGAGGAAGATCGCCAAAACCCATGGTACTGGAAGTGGAAATCAGTTTCGCGGCCTGGTTCGAAGTTTGCAGAGGACGGACCGCTTGCTCAAGGTTGAAGTCGACTACATCGCTGTTCCTTACTACAATAAAGGCATTTGCCAGCACCCTATACTTTCACTTCGAAGGCTGTTTTCCTACATGCTTAACAATGGCTACTCCAAGCTACTGCTGGGGGGCTACGATGTCAAAACGGATGAATCCAGAACTGTTCTTCGGCAGTGGTGGGAACGCTACAGGGCCCACGACCCCCATCATCCAGTCTTCAGCAGCACAGCATTGGAGGACACGGTGCCACTGGCTGTCTATGGAGACGAGGGGACTGGTAAACGAAAGCACCCTTGTTATATCCTTGCAACCAAGGCAATGCTCAACTGTCGCAACAACAGCTACTATCGCAACTTTTTGTACACCATCGCTGCCCATGAGCTATACCGGGGATTTCACAAAGGTTCATCGAACAAGAACGAGTGTTTGGATGAGATTGTGCGACTTTACTCGCTGGAAGCTGGCTCTCTCTTTCGAGAAGGTTATCGGGGTTGCAACATCTAGACTTTGTATCCCTTACAAGCCCTCTAAACCCTGTAAGGATGTTTCTTTGTAAAGGAACTCTCACAAACCCTCAGCCCACTAAACCCTAAACCTTAAGTTTTCTTCGCTGGGATAGTGGTTTATACTGGGATGCGGATTGTATCGCAAATTCAGCATGGCCCCTGCAGCAGGCATCAATGTGGATGTGAGTGGCACAGGGGCTGGTGTTCGCACGCTTTACTTTGCCTATGTTGGCTGTCTTGGAGATTTGCCTTTTCAGGCCAAGATCTGGAAACAAGAGCGAAATTTTCAGTGCAGTGATTGCTGTCCTTTCTGCCTGGCCACACGAGACGATCTTTGGGATGTTTCAGACCAACCCTCTTGGGCAGTGCGACATGTGCCTTCGCCATGGTTGGAGGATTCAGTTCTTGCCACGATCCCTGGCATGGCGAGTCCTACAATGGCCCGACATGACATCTTTCACCTTGGGCACTTGGGGGTGGCAAGGTATTTTTATGCATCCACCCTTGTGCTGCTATGCAGGAACTTTGGCTTCTGGTCTGGTCCTGGTCGAGACACCTTGCCCTCCAGGCTGGCAAACGCATATGATGATTTTCGCGATTTCTGTCGCGGTGTCGGGCAGACCCCCAATGTAAAGGAATTTACAAGCACAAACCTCCACGCAGCACAAACTGGCTTCCCCAAATGCACCTTCAAGGCAAGCGACTCCGTGCTCATCATGTGTTTTTTGGAAGATTACTTGGATCGACCCTGGAAGTTGGATGACGACGGGGTCCAGCACACCATGCTGACAGCGATTATTCAATACAATGCTTTCCACAGGTGTTGCTGGAAAGCAAACGATAGGAGGTGGCTGAGTCGTGAAGAAGCAACAAAAGCAGCATGTTGCCTGGATGCCTTCATCTCCTGCTATGTCTTGCTGGCCAGGTGGACCCACAGAAACGGTATGTGCCATTATGTTTTGGTTCCCAAGCTCCACTTCCTGAAGCACCTTGTGCTGGATATACAGAAAGACTTAGCAAACCCAGCAGCAGGACATATTCCAAACCCGGCCATGTTTGCCACTCCGGACGGTGAAGACTTCATCGGACGGATTTCTAGGCCCGTGCGGGCACTGCACAGCTCTTCTGCATCTTTAGGGCGGCTGCAAATCTATAGAGCAGAGATGCTACAAGAATGGGCAGGGAATGGCTAGCAACATTATATATGTCAATATATGTATATGCTTATATATAGGTGAGAAAACGAGCCATTCGTGCCGAGCTGCAGTCGTCAGCGGAGATCGCCGCCCGCCGGCATGGACAAAGGCATTTAGGGATTCCAGGGGTTGAAGGGTA